CAGTGGATTCTTTGTCAAGAAGTCTTGTGAGGGAAAGTGAAGAGACAGACTGAAATGATAATCAGAATGATAATGGTCCAGGGGTGTGATCATTTGGGCTAGCTAGGGGCTTTTCTGCTCACTGGTTCCATAGCATCCTGTTGGATGGGCTGCTAGGAAGCTACACTACCTGGTGTGCTTGCCTCTTGCCTGCTCTTTTTGTTTTCTGTTTTGTCCTGCTGTTACCCTGGAACAGTTCTGTCCAGGAGCATTTTCTAGCAGAAGCTTGTTTCACCTGAAAATCTGTCAGCAGTTCAGCTTTTCAGAAGTGAGTGACTACAAGAATGCACAGCTGACATGCCGAGATGGGCAAAGCGACCTCCGACCATACAGGTTACAAGATACGTGGTGTTACTTTTTGTTCAGAGATGCCGTAGACATGGTTTCTGCTTGTGAGTTGATATGTAGAGAATACTTGGCATGGATTGCTCTGAGAAAATTTGAATTAAATTTACAGAACAGACCATCCAAGGACTGCTAAGGACTCATGCAGAAATGGACATGGCTCCAAACTGCTCTCGATGCTGACGGCTTTCCTCTCACCACTCCTGTCCAGCGTTAACTGTGCCTTTCTCAGGTCCACCGTGGAAGTGGCTTAGGCTAAACAGCCAAAAGGCACTCCTAGTTCAGAATAAGAGCGGCCACACAGTGAGTTAATGCCAAGGAGCTAATGCATTCTGCATTCACACCCTCGCTTATTTTGCAACAGCTTCCCTGTGTAGGCAAGCCCTGCATGTTCATGTCATTTGATGGTTAGCATTGCATCAGTGACATTCCAGATTCTGACCACAATGTTAGTAATGGAAAGTGGTTCATCGTCTAATGAAATGGTAGGCCTTTTCTTTTTTTTTTCTGGTTGCATCTTTTGCAACTTTTTATTTCGTGTGTCTGGAGTGAATTTCTTCATTTTTTACATGTGCATGGTGTTCTTTTAATCTCTGATACATGAAATGATGCTCTCTAAGCATGGAAATTGCCTTTACACAGTATACTCTACGAAGCAGTGATTGTTCAGCCTTTTTTCTTCTGAAAAGCAGGAGAAAACCTGAGTAATAAAAACGTTCTTTACATATATTTGCAATTTAATAGCTAGTGTCTGATACATTTTTTCCTTGTAAGATATTCCAGTTTTTTTCTTGCTTTGCTCATACTGTGGCATCCCTAACACTTTTGCTTTCATTGTCACACACCTGGCACGCTTTCATATAGACCTACAGTTTCCTGGTCATTTCGGTAGTCTGCTTATCAGTTCGGTTTATTTTCAGCAAGCCTTTGGTGTTTAACTTGCTTATTAAGTTTACAAGCCATTGTGGGTGATGATAGTTAAGATGGAAGAATATGGCCTCCTTAGATTTTCCAGAAATAGTGGCTCCTCTGAGTTTAGTGATGAGCCTTCGTGACATCTTTTTAGGTAATCTTCATCTCCCCCAGGAGCTTCTTCAGATAGAGTCCAGACTCCTGTGATGAGGAAACTGCAGTTTGAAATGTCATCCACGGACTTTGAAGTGTGGACCTCTCATGTTTGTTTGCAATAACAGAGGGAGCAAGAAAGCCGCCTCTCTGTGTTTGCCTACCAGACTGTTTGAGTTGCGTGGTTTATAATCAAAGATATCCTTTCTGTTCACATTTCTGGGGACACAGTCCCACTGCACAACAGTCTGAATTTCCCAGAATATAAAGGCAAAGATAATGTCTTACTTCTCACTTTGAATAGTGCATGAGTTGAAGGTTTCACAGGACACCTCTGGAGTTTGTTTTTGTTTTTTTTTTCTAGGTGGAATTTGTAGTCGCATTTTATTTACTAATACATTAAACAGCAAATTGTATCTAGCTTCAAGTTTCTTTCTGTCTCCTTCACTTACATTTCTGTAACAAGTGTCCCATAACATTTCCATCAAATCATAGTCTCTCTTCATTTTAAGGTCACTCTGGAAAACTGGCATCAACCAGCTCTACCCTGTTGTGAAAGGATAAAATGGGAATAGTATTTCCATTTGGAATAGTGTATTTTAAAAGGCCTGTAGCTTAGTGGGACAAAATACTGTAAAATTTGTGAGTGCTGTGAATTTGATAGCATTAAAGGAGGTTTTAGAGTCTTGTTGCTTAGTGCAGGATACTGTCCTTTCCTTCCCCGCTCTTATTGTGTAAAGGAACTAACAATTTGCTAAATTGCTCATCTAATTTGTCTTTCATTCACGCTACAGGAAAATCAGAATAGCTTATGTTTACAGGATTGTCATTTTATTTTGGACTGATCAAATGCACGTCTATCTACTTCTTACACAAGTATGTGTAAAATAGGGCACGTACAAGGGACTTGTCAGTAAATTACCAGCAAATTGCTTGGCCTGGGCAGGAGCAAGTAACTTTGCAATTGCAATCTGGAGCAACACGTTAGAGGCCACCTTCCTTAGATCAGCTTATGTATTGCAACACCAGCAAGTAATCAAATTGTAATGTACTTTAATGCAAAGCCTAGTTTGGCTTGGTTGGCAAATTGAACTATCGCATGCCTCTGGCAAAAGCAGAAAGCCTTTGAACTGTTTGACTGCAGCTGTAGCTTGCACACCTTATTTTCCCTCTTAAAAATCAAATTAAAGTGTAACCTGCAGCCTCTGCGGTAAGTTTCAAGGAAAATTAAACTGTTGCTAACCTTTCTAGCAAAGATAACTGTCTCCAATCGAGCTGAAAAGTCCAGGCCCAAATTCCCCTCTCCAAGTTTAGACAAATTCATTGGAGGAAAACTCCAGGGCTTATTAAGTACAAAGATATTACCTCTGACTCAGGAAGTCCTTGGCCACAAATTGCTAGAGACTGGGAGAGTTTGCCAGGAAGGTATTACTCTGTGCTTCCCTTCTTCTTTCGCTCCTCCTACAGCGTTATTGCGGATCTGTCCCAGGGGCAGGACACTGGACAGCTGTTCTGGTCTGCTTCTCTGCATCTGAAGTCTTAACCCAAATTGAGAGCGCTAATGGGCATGCTGACCCACTCTTAAGCATTGCCCATGGTGGTCTCAGGAGTGTGTTTCATGGAAAGCAGCGTTTGGGCTCCTTCCCTCCTTTAGACTTGTCCTTGGACCTTCCTCACCCCATGGTAGCAGTGTCCCAGATTCCTTCTGACTCTCAGAATACGACTCTTGGATGCGATGATGCCTTTCACCTCCCCCACCATTCATTATTTTCTGTGTCCTGCTGGCAGGAACACTCGGCATTTGACTTGCCCTCATGTTTTTCTTGGAGCTCTCAGAGATAGGATTTTTCCCAGCCTGGATGAGTTGCTGTTATTTCTATAGAGTCAGCAGTACAATAGACCCTCTTGGGAGCCAAGACCTTGTCTGTCTAGTGGCTGAGGCTTACAAAGACTCAGTCCTGCATGCTTAACGTTACCCTTTGATTTCCGGGAGTAGTGTCTGGCTGGTAGCAGGTGAGAAGGCAGAACGGTGCAACACAAAAGGAAAGAAATCAATTAAGTTTGCATTGCAACATGTGCTCACTCAGGGCCAGGTTAGAGAAACAGAAATTGGGTAGAGGATGTTGTTGGCACTGGAAGCAGCGAGCAGTCTGTCTGTCGTAGAAGTGACAGTGACAACGGAGAGGATCTTTCCTCTAATGCATTTTTGATATTTATGCTATCCATGCTTAAGATAATTCACAATACAGCAGTTAATGTCTCCTCATTATGGTTTTCTTATTTGTAAAAGTTAGCTTAAAAGTTTTCAGTCTCTCTCAGCAGAGTAGGTAAAAACTGAGCTAAGGCGTATTAGTCACATTTTTATCAAGAGATGAAAGTGATAGAGATTTAAAGTACTACCAGCTTTTAATTAAAATTGAATAAGTAAAAATCAGTTGGCAGTTGCAAAATTCATTATGGCGTGTTACCAAAAATAGATACCTTTATGAGAATGTAGTTTTATTGCAGCAGTGGGCACTAATTAGCTGTAAACATCACTGCTGAGATAGCCAGATAGAAAATGTGTTACTAATACTCATAACAGGTTTCAATTGGCTGGAATGGAAAACTAGAAACTCTTAAGGCTCTTAAAATGTAATCTCTCAGACTACCAAAATAGATGTATGTACTTCTGTTACTTAAGGCAACATCTGAATTTCAGGAACAATGACCTAGTGTTTTCTGCATCTGGTTTTAATTTGCGAGGAAAACTTAACTTTACAAAAATGTAACCTGACTTAGCTGAAATCTGGATGACCCGGTGGTGTTACTTCTTCTTTCTGTAGAGTAGTCAGACTTGCAAGTTAGATCCTCAAAGCTTTTATACGTTTCATTTGGTAAAAAATCCCCTTGACCTTAATTAAAACGTCTTCCAATATGAGTTTTCAGGTATAGATCTACGGTTCAGAGCATCTTACTGACCAGTTGGGGATGTACGTGTGTCTTGCGTAACTCTGCAAAATTTACTGTAATTGAAAAAAGTTATTTTATGCTCTCCTCCTGTAATCTAGAACATCAAGCAATAACAACAAATCTGTGGGTGGTTTATCTGATTTATGCTAATCTGCTATTGACATGTTTGAGGTATCACTTGCATCATCCCAGTCTTGCATATTTATTATTAAAACTAGTAGCTGCTTGTGAAAAGGAAATATTTTAAATAATTATTCATTTGTGCTGTGATAACCTCTTGAAACCAGGGCCCCACTCTGGTAGACTGTATATAAAATCATTGCCAATGAAGTGCAACCTGAAGTGTTTAAGATGAGCTTGCAGCAAGAGGACTGTTTGAATCCAGGAAGACTAATATATCCCACCTACAAGGAGTGGGTCTCAACTCGTGGAATTTCAGCCATGAAACAAGCACGAGGCATCTAAATCACCTCCAAAGCCAGTACAAGAAAGAGGTAAACCCAGCCTGTGATTTAGCTCAGATAACCTTCAAACTTGGATGCTTCAACATAGTCTCCTCAGTTCTTGTGTCGGTACCTAAGTGAGCACGCACAGAAGCGATGGGTGAAGTGGTGACCCCTCAGCAGTCAGAAGGTGCTGCGCAAGGTGAACACTCTCCCAGAAGAGGCCACTTACATGCCTGACTTGGAGTCCTGAGCTTTAAGAGGAAAACCAGAGGCACAAGCCCCACGTTTTAAAACTTTTAAAACCCACCTTCCTTGGCATCTACATATTGACACACAAAAAAGTCATCCTTCATAAACAATCATCTGTCCTAGATCTTGCTAGTAGTGCTGCATTCTAACTTCGTTGACCAACGGGATGTGCTGGTACACTGGAACTACATGCCAAGTTCTTGAGTTGAAACAAAGTACAACATAGAAAAATACGAGTTTCCAGATGTTTTCAGCAAGAAAGATTAGAGCTGCAGTATGTCAAAATTCGCAGACACATGAATTTAAGGAAATTCTGAAGCTCTTGTTCTTTGTTGGCATTGCTCATAGGAAAAAAAATCAGTATGGTATTTAATAAAGCAGCCCCTGCAAAAGCTGGCATGGACCAATGTTTGCAATATTCTTTAGCCTTGCTGTCTCAGTGGGATTTCACCCGTTGCTTTGCATTTCAAAAGCTTCATTAAAAAACCTGCCACTTTTATCCGCCAAAAGTTGTATTTTCTTTAAAATACTATGTGTTTGTGATCAAGTAAACCTTATATGTGAAGGATCTAAGAATAATATGTGACAGGTTTTCTCTTCTGAAAACTGGTAACTGATGCAAGTCTTTTTCTGACGTCTACCATTGCCATTTCAGTATTTGCAGTTAATTGTGCCCACTTTTTCCTTCTGGTTTGCAAGTGTTTAATTTTGTTAGGGGGTCACTGTCGGGTAAAAGTAAGTTAATATTCTTGGAGATGAAAGCCTTAAAATTATTATTGACATTGGACGTTTGAGCTCCCTTTTCCCCTACATCCACACCCCATTGATTGAATGAGGCCTTAGTAACAGAAACAGAAATACCCTTGGTGCTCGCCTGAGTATTGCATAAATATTTGCAGGAGTACCTGGGACAGAAACATTCCTGAATGCTTGGAAAACTCTTGGTGTATTGGAATGGAGAGAAGGGCAAGCTCTGTTAAGGAGGAAGGAAAAATATGCAAATAAACCCAGCATACCGAGAGGTGCTGTGGTGGAGTGATGGCTGCCGATGCCAAGAGTGCCTCAGCCAGAGAGGTGCTGGCTCACATGGCAGGGTGCTTAGTCTGGACTGGGTGTGAGAGACCGGGATTGCTCCAGGAGTGATGTCTGCTGTTATCATCCGGAAGGTGATAGTATTATACAGGCATGCAGGACTGACCATAAGTGAGGAAACACTGGTCCTTAACAGATGTGGAAGACTGAATGCCAGGGATGCAAAGATGCGAAGATGGGCTGATAGCGGGCGATAGCAGCAAAGGGAACCAAGGCTGAGACTTTGCAGAAGGCAAATCATGAACCAGCCCTAAACCCTCCGTGTTCACTTGTGTTTCTCACTGTCCCCTTGGCAGTCAAAGCCGACACAGACCGTTGAAGGGTTTAATCCTCTCCGAACCCTGTGTTGCTACATTGCAAACTGGCTTGTGCAGCTAGAGAGATAAAGGTGCTGTTCAGCTTGGGACACCTTGAGGACTACACCCCAGGGCACTGCTGCAAAACATTGCAGAACTACCCCAAAGGAATGGGAAGTTATGGCAGGTGTTTGATGTTATTACCAGATAAGATTTAAAGATAAACAAGTGCATTCAACTAGAAGCCTAGATTCACAGTAACAGAGCAAAGTTAGGAAATGACAAAACAACACGTATAGATTTATGAAGGTTATACTTAGCAAGATATATCCTCCTTAGCTGCTCCTGTGTCTCAGCTTTTGACTCTGGCTAATTAATTTCTGCATGGAACCCTGGGCTGGCATGCCCCTGGGTACGCAGAGTTGCTTACACCTTGCCTTCTTCTTCTGGTGAAGGTGGGGACCTGCATCTTCTCTGCCTCCAGGTGGATTTGCTTGTCTTGTTTGTCTGCCCCTCATTCCATGGCATTGGCCCATCAGGTGTTTTCTGGGAGGTTTCAGTATTTCATTCTGCCTCTCCTCCTTAAGGTTACTTCAATAAAATTTCTGTTGTCCGTCTCAAGTAACACTTTCTTGGCTTTTGTTTTTCACTGATTATAGTCTTGTGAAAATACAGCAGCATCACTTTACAAATTATGCATTATGATAAATAGTGCAAATTCCTTTTAAAGTGTATATTGTGTATACAGGCTCTGTAGCAAGCCCATCTATGACATTCAAACACAAACTGATCTTGAGAGTAGGACTGCCAAATCTGAAAAAGCTCCACCTTGTTACATTTTGGGGACTCATCTGCATGCGGCTGGGTTTTGGTGAACTTGAACAGAGAATAGCAAAGGCTTTGCGTATATTCAGGCAGCTTGCTTTCCTTCCTAGCCCTCCTTTCTAGTGTTGGCTATAACTAGACACACACACAAGTGGTTACCGTTTAAAAATCCACATTTTCTAACAGAGACTGTAGTACAGTATTTTTTGCAGTATCTTGTTCAGGGAACGGTACAGAAATATGTTGTGGCATCTCAGATATCACTGTGAGAGAATCCTTTGCAAATGCTGGGGTTTATTTGCTTATTTTAAGTATTGGGTATCATTATTAAATATTAAATGAGAATTGTTTTGTTTCCCATTATAGTTTGTCAGCATTCAGATGGTAATGAGGCCATTGAACAAATCGATGAAGATATAGCTGTGACTCAGAGTCAGATGAACTTTATTTGTCCCATTACACAGGTATGCTATCACTGCTGCTATAATGGATTGGGAATTAGTTATTTCATATTCTTCATCGGCTTGTTTATTGCGAATCTGCAATGCATGTTAAAAATCAGGCAGTATAAATTACATGCATTATCAGAGAAGAGCAACATTGCTTGGGGAAAAACCCCACCTAAGTGGGAATGCGATTTGCCGCTCAGGACCTGACCCTGCAATTTGAGTGGAACGCCCTGTACGAATGGCAAACGCGCGTCCTGCTGTTCTACGCAAAATCTCGTGAGAAGCATTTTCATGGGCATTATCGGTTCCTTGAAATCAAACCTTATTGATTACAGGTGGAAATGAAGAGGCCAGTTCGAAACAAAGTCTGTGGACATAGTTATGAAGAAGACGCCATTCTAAAAATTATCCAGACTCGAAAGCAGCAAAAGAAGAAAGTCCGGTAAGGTAACAAGGATGTGTGGAAAAGCTATTTGCTTTGCTGTGTAAGTGGAATTTTACTCCACTTGTTCTAGGAAATGTATTTGGATTGGCAAGGCTGCAGGAAGTAATAGCTCAGTGTCTGCCCAAGTCACAGTCTCCTCATTAGTACTGTACACGTGAAGGAGCTTTTCTTTTTAATGAAAACAATGTGTAAAGAAATGTTCAGGAAGTGCGTGGGGAAGTTACAGCCTCTCGTGTACCTGCACAACAGAAACAAAGAGATTTCATAGAGCTGTGAACAATAAAGAGAAGCTTCAGCTTCCTAAAATTTAGTTGTTTATTTTGTTCCCACTGCTTATTTAGCAAGCCCTGAAGTTAATGAAAAAAAATAAAAATAAACATCTCCTCTGTGCACCCTCTTTTGCAGTTATATTCCAATAAAACTGAGAAATACTAAAACGCTTAAATGAGTGTTAATGTGAGAAATACTAAAGCATAACGTTTTAGGTAGTAGAGTTTAAGAATGATCAGACGGGATTATACAGTTCCTACTACGATGCAATTAAATAATTCTTACTGTATATCATCAAAGCAGCCTGCCACTTTCCACACAGGACATATTTTTTTGAATGACAAGATGTAACAAGTGAATTTCTAAACCTGAAATTCTCCCTGGTAAGTTTCAAAATTAGGATGATTTTGATTTAAAAAAAAAAAAAAAAAAAAGAGAGCAGAAAAGGGGCTCAAACACTTTTTAGAGCAAGTTTAGAGGACCTATTTCATCATTAATTTCACATGGGTTTTACACCTTATACGTTAGAGCCTCATGCTTTGGGGTTGGTGAACTCATGGAAACGTACCAGTTGTGGACTTTTTAATAAATGTGCAGCTTGCACGTGCTCAGCAAGGTCTGTCAGAGACTAGCAACCTGATTTCTCCAAAGATAATGCCGCGGGCAGCTTACTTCCTCTGTCTGTTGCTCCAGCATTTCTGTTAGACTCCACATACTCTGCCATGGGGATAAAAAGGTGGAGTGGGACTTACTATTCCATGCTCCTTCCTGGCTGCAGGAAGGCAGTGCCATGAAATCAAGCATCAGTTGGGGTGTCCAGCCAGTACCTTAGTGTCAAGACAGCCTGAAAAGCCAGACAGAAGTACCTTGCCTGTGTTATGAAGTCTAGGCAGAAAAAGTGGAGTGGGTGCAATGTACTGGGAATAACAAAACTCACGACATGGATGGACAGAAACTTGGCTGGGAAAATGAACGGGAGTTGGGAAATAGCTCACGAGTTGGAAAGAAGAAAGTGAGTGTGCTGGAGGATAGGGACAGGCTATGAAGCATGTGCTTAACAGCCCAAAACCACAACAAAAATACCTTCTGCAATACGGAACCGAATTTGGGGTGTTCCTATCTAAATAATTCTGTGTGTTGTTAAATCCGTCAGGAAAATGTCATGGGAGTAGAGACTGTTAAGGTGAATCAGAAGTGTCAGCACTGCTGAAAAGCTAATAGGGTCCCATGATTGAATTTTTATTTTACCTTTTAAGAAATTAAAGACTTAAAGAAAATATAGAGTAAAAAAAAAAAATCATGTAATTTGTACAACATTTAGCTTTAAAAGTTACCTTATACTCAAACTGAAGTTATTTGTGCAGCCTGAATCCTGGAAGTTTTGAATTCTGAGCTTTTAGCTTCTCACCTTACCATTTTTACAGTAGTTGTTCCAGTATGCTAGAAAGGCAGAAGCACAGCAATAACTCTGCTTCTCTGTGACTAAATTAAGAGAGACTGCTTGGTTTTGTCTGCCCAGTCTCACTGACCTGCTGTAATTTTAACCTTTCTCGTGAAAATGCAGTTAGTTTTGAAAAAACCATAGTCTGCTGTGGTGGGAAAACAGGCCAGTTGGTGCAACAAGTTCCCCATTTGAGTACCCCGTCGTCGTGATGTTGCTACCTGACTGCGCTGCTGCCAGCAATATTCAGGTGGAAGCAGGTGTCGTGATAGAGCAGAGTCGTGGTTAGGGGGAACCTCCCTGTCCCGACGGTGAAATCGAAGCTGTTGCTCACTCTGGGGTTACAGAAGCGACTGTTTCCTCACACATGCTTTCCAGTGTGAATCCACGGGATCCCTTCGGTGCACTTGGCGGTGCTCCGGCTGAATGTCAGCTCCTCACCTGACGTACGCGCCGCCACCGGCTTTGTGCTGGTAGACTCGCCGTAGACTCCTTCAGGCAACTCTTACGTGTCTTGGTTTGCTCACTATTTTCCACTGCCTGGAAGGACATACTAACACTTTATGCTTACAGGAAATGTCTGAGCACTTGTTATTCATTAATCTGGCAAGCTGTTGCTCTAATAAGGTGATAAATGGGAAAACTGAGGCACTGAGCAATTAAGTGACTTGTCCATGACAAACACAGTAAGCTGTGGACAAATCCGGAGTAAAAGCTATGAGTACTGAGTGTAAGTTCAGCGTCTCAGACAAAAGTTACTCCTAACAGAGGAAAAATTCAGGAAAAGTGTTATTTCTGACTACCAGTACCATCTGTGCATGTTTGGGACATTGCCAAAGGAAAATTACCTTTGGTCCCTGAATATCTTTCGGCCTGCTGTCTTCATCTGGCTGTTTCAAGTAGTTGTAAGACATTTTGTATTTGATTATCATTTAGAGGCTGTTAATTTGACCCCATCTCTCCTGTCTGTGCTTCCTCAGTTCATAAAAGGCCAGGCAAATTTTTACACCAACTAGATAGTTCATCGGTTCACCAGTCAGCCTTTGGAAGCCTCATTCTCTTTTATCTATTTCCCTAGAAATTAATTTCCCTATTTATCGGTGAAGATTCTACTTTTCCACTGCAGATTAAGGCAAATCTGTGCTGGGCAAGACCCTTCTGTCTGCTGGGACGTGCCAGATCTGTGGTACACATCCCACAGGATAAGGGAAGAGGTAGTTACTTGCAGTTTGTAGAGGACTGCAAAGAGAGAAGGCAACACAGAAGGATGTCCATGCAATGCTAGTGTGATGAGTGATGCAGGCAGCTTGTGTACGTGAAGCAGGAGAGTGATCTACAGGTGAGAGGCTTCGTCTGTCGCTGTGTTCCCTCCTTCAGCTGTTGATTGCCACTGGTTTAGATAAATGGGTTTGTTTTTCCCCACAGAGAACTGGTGAAGCGGAGAAGAGGTAACGAGGAACTGACAGAGACAGGGAATCCCAGATAAATACAATAAACTAGCAGATGTCATGAAAAGCCTATATCTGACAAATACAATTCTTCTGATTTAATGGAGTCTCTCTTTTCTTCTTAACAGATGCCCTAAAATTGGCTGTAGCCACGCTGATGTAAAAGGATCAGATCTTGTGCCAGATGAAGCACTTAAAAGAGCGATTGACAGTCAGAAAAAACAAAGCTGGTCAACACTGGAGAAGTCAGCTGGATACGATGCTGCCACAAAGAAAATTTGTTGTGAGAGGTCTTGTGAGATAAGCTGCTGATTGTAAGTAGGTTGTGTAACTGATTGTTATTTAAAGTGTTTCATTTATAGGCAAAGTTGAAGGTCTCAGCTGTAACTGAAAGCATTTTTTAAATATGAGGAATTCCAGTTTAACTTGTTCTTTTTTTTAACCTTCCTGAAAGTCTCAAAGCTTGCATTTGATAAATAAAACATGTCTTGCAGCATTTAACCTTCCTTGTCGGTGTGCTAATTTTTTCAGCATATCAGAGATGCAGATTCTGCTGGCATGTAATAGAGAGTGCCTTTGCTCCAGATTGCAGATAGTTCTGTCACTGTCTCTGTAACTGATGGGAATACTTGGAGTAGGGCACTCCAACCAAGGATTTACCCTGCTTGAGGGCACATCCATGTTTTAACACAAACCTCAGGAAACCCTAATAGAGCTTGATTTGTCCGAAGTGCTGCACATCTGTACCTTGTGTGTGGACGCACAGAATTGCCACTCAGCTTTGAGGGGCTTGGCCTTGTTCTCACAATTTTTGAACACTCTGCCCTAACTGAGGCTTTTCTTCTTAGATTCAGAAGCTTTTATTTCAGGCTTTTTCGTTTGGAAGTCCTTAATACTGTAGGTTAGGAGACTACAATTATTTACAAATGTATTCCAATAACTAATTTGTAGGTTATACAAATATATTGTAACTGTATGCCTTGAATTGAAAAGCAGTTAATCTCATTTTATATAGGCTTCAGATATCTATGCATTTGGGCACAGATCCAAAAAAGAATTTAAACTTTGTGACACTCTGTTCTCATTACCTGAACTGATCTGAACACATCTAGCAGATAAGACACTACATGTAGGTATTGGAAATAGCCGTAGATAAAAGGAGCTGCCTCCGTGGTCAGAGGGCAATTATCTCTTTGCATATGTGAAGCAGAAAATACAGGTTTCTTTGAGTTTTGGGATCTTTAGCGGGTTAGGCGGTATTTTCCTAGGTCATTTTTCTGAATTTACAATCTCACATTTAGCGTAAAATGCAGCTAAAGCTCCTATATGCCAAGCTTTTCACTCTGGGTTACTGCTTGGAAACAACTTCCCTTTCGTAGACCATTATTAACTCCAATTGCACTTAAGAGTGCAAACCTCTTCAAACTGAAATTGTTATTTTGTAATTGAAGAATATTAATCTGCAAGCTATTTCATAGCTAAAAAAAGGGAACTGAACTGTTATTATTCTCACTGAGCTTTTGTGTTCGAAACACATCATGGGAATGAGTGGGGTAATTTTCATAATGTGGTCTAACCCCAAAGGTGCATCTTCTCAAAAGTCAGCAGTGACCATGAGTGCCTCTGTCTGTGGAAGCCCAGCTGAAAGAGACTGGGGGGCCGTTTAGCAGTACGTGCTTGTTTGTATTCTTACGTGTAAAAATCAAGTCCCTTTTCACACATCTCAGGTCTCAGACCTGTAGTTTTTCAGGTGGGTCACTGATTCTCAGTTAAGTACCACAAGGGAGCATGCTAACTATAGCATTTGTCAAAAAAAAAACCCAAACAGGGGCTGTGTGTGTCCTAAACTGTTCATAGTTTTTTGTTTAAGTTTATGGTTAAATTTACTCCAGCACCATTTACAGGCAGGACACTCAGAAACAGAAACTTGCATTGCTTAAACAGTCCCTGCAGTTTCTGACAGAGGTGCATTAACGTTGTCCTCATGGATCTAATTCAAGCCCAAGTGGTAATCAGGCTCCCAAGTTTTCAGATGCAAAGATGTACCTACATTTTACATGTCCGCAGCGTCACACCTCAAATTTAGCTCTTGTGGGTGCCTGGATGCTTGAGTGTGTCTTCCAATAACACTATAACTGCTAAATTATACTCAGGTTAATTCCTACCGACAAACTGGTGGCAGCAGGTTTGGTTTGCTACCCGTGGTGTTTGTACCAGTATAGCCTTAGGTAGCTGCAGTTCCTGATATGGTCATTACCCTCATGTTCCAGTGAGTAATGCTGTAAGGGAGATTGCTGCCTTGGTTACACCTTGTTGTCGTACGTTGAAGAGAGAGGCTTGACCCATAGCAGTGCTGGTGGCCCTAGTGGAAGCTGCACCCAGTTTGCCTCTGTGTTAGCTAATCCACAGGTCACAGTGTGAACTGCCTGCCCAAGATGATGCAGCTGGGAGAAAAAAACAAACAAATCTGAAGCAACACTTGAAATGAAGAGAACAAATAGGCAGGCACTCACGTACTGCCACTCTAAGTGGAAAGGTATTTTTGAATGTTCACACTCCTGCCTCAAAATACATGATCTTCCTTCTCTCCTCTGCTAGCCTGAGCCAGGCAGCAGCAGTGAATCGGACAGCCTGAACAGCAAGTGCAGGTGCAGCCTAAATTCTGAAATCCTCCTCAGTCTTCAGCTGAAAGGGAGTGATTTTTGGCAGCACTTACCTGCTTAGCTTTAATAACAATCACATACGAGGTGAAGAGGCACGTGCATTTAAACAGAGGTAAGTTTATTTATTTTCTCATCAGAGACACCTCTTTTCAAGTACAACCACAGCCATATTATCCAGAAAAAGACAAATACTCATGCACTTAGGTCAGGATTGCTGACAAGAGTACGTGAGTCCCATCGAAGTCAGTGATGCACCACATAGATTCAACTGCTAGAGAAAACTGCCTGCATTTACTGAAATCAATGAAGTCTCCCCAAAATGTTTGGCATTTCTGAATTTAAACTGTATCATAACATCCAAGGAATCCTGGTACAATGAGTGAAATTTTTTTTTTTTTCCCTGAACCTGGAATTGGAGCCATCCTGTTGATTTTTCATGGCTGGTTCTCTTTTGTTGGTGGTTCTTACAAGTAATTTTCCTTCTGAAATTGAAAGATTACAGGCTTGGTCATCAGCATGCATCGCAGCTGGCACCTTACTGGGTGGAAGGACAGACTAGCCTTGGCAACTGGGGAAGGCTTCTGAGCCTGTCAACGGACCTGGTGGAAGTTACAAATCGCTACCGATGCACCGGGGCGGCTGTAGTTACTGGCAGCTCTTTGCTCTTTCATTTGCCAAGTCTGGGGTTCGTTACGCAGTTGTGACCTCTCTGTTCCCATGTGTGCCATGTGCCCCGTAAACTCTGCTCTGGAGAGAAGTAGCTTGAAAGAGTTAAAGAATAAAAATAAGTGTCTGTGATAAGTAAGCTGATCTGTATGATTCACAGAAGTGGAAACTCAACAGCAGTTAGACCTTCAAATCTTAATCTGTTTTGGCTATAAGATATCATATGTAAACAGGCATATGTTAACAGTTCACAGGGTAATTTGTGTCTCATTGTTTGACGTCAGAAATTTTGCAACAATATTTAAGGAAAGAAACTCAGAGGTGAGGTGGGTTTTTTTTCTGTTCCATAGGGCGAGCTTTACAAATGCAGCAGACCTCAATGTAGCTGAGAAGGGTCTGCCACTGAAACCTGGTGAGAATCTGTCTCTGCCAGAGAACAAAAGTTCCACGTAGTATTTTGAGTGATTAAAGAAATGTCTAATCAAATATTAAAATTAAGAAAAGGCAAGAGAGATCCATATGCACCAGCTTTCGGTGGTACCCCCGAGGCACGAGCCATTAACGCAGCTCTCTCACTTGAACAGACTCTCCCTGTGAAGCAGAATTCTCCATTTTACAACTAGAGACTCTGAATTTTTCAAATCAGTGGAGCCATGACGTGTAAAGGTAAAAACTAATCAGGCAGGCATCTCATGGAAGATTTAGCACACTTGTGCTAAAAGGAGCACACATTCCTCTGAATCAAGGCCATATTCATCGTCACTGCTCCAGAGCTGTGATCTTATTCATTCCAGAAGAGTCAGAAAGACTAGGCTAAGTCAGTGCTCCCTTGAGAAATACCCAGAGCAGAAGCAGGGGCTGAAGGAAGTGATACTGGTGACTCAACAGCCAAGGCCAACACACCGCCTTATTTTAGACAATGTCCTCCTGGACATACTCGTGTTTCCTCATGAGTGGCCGATGACAAAGGTCTTACTTACCTGTGGTTACGAGCACCTGGTGACGTTTTTCTCAAGAATAGCTCTAGCATTGTGGCTGAAACTAGCTTAGAATTCACTGTGCGACTTGATTGACTTCCACTGCTGTTTCCAGTGAATGTTAGTCCCCACTTCCCCTAAAAACCTCCATGTACGGATCCTGAGGTACTGTGTAGTCCATCAACCGAACATTTCCATTATGGGTAGTGCTCTGTTACACAGTGACGATACACCTAGGGAAGGGGCTTCCTGGACTGAAAAGTGTGAGAATATCCCAAGGACTTTCTCTTGCTACAGCCAAAGCCTTAAGCTGATGGCTCCTCGGTACAAGTACAGACTAGTACTGGCTGCAAATTCCACATCTTCCATAAACACTGATTTATTTTCTGCTCATAAATTACTTACTGTTAATACGTATTTTTTCAAACACACGACGTGGTCACAGCAGTGCTCAGAGGAGAATCCTATGTGTAGGTGCCAGCGGATTCTAGGCTGCCAGCCAGTAACTATAAGGAGTAAAAACATTAGACTGATGGTTAAGCAAGTAAAATTCTGGGATGCGTGTACATCGTACAGTAGATACCCGTGTATGTGCTCAGCCTCTTGATGCTAACGAGTAATTTCAGCGACTTGACAGAACCGCAGCAACGTTCCGAAAACACAGTGTGCTTCACCATTTCAAAACGCTGCAGAAAACGCTGCGGTGGGCTGAGGAGAGAGCCCGCCTCCCGCTCATTCTGATGTTAGTCCAGCTGAAGACAGAGCTTGAAAGCACGCGCACAATTGAATTGCTTGGGAAGCTTACCAAAGGAAGTGTTTGCTTGTAAACTCAGTATGAATAGGATCTTCTCTGACCGCAAGGGAAACGGAGAGACACTCATTCACTGTCTGCTTGTGCAATCAACTTCTGCAGTAAAAACAGGATTTGAGGTTTAAAACCTGAACCTTCACACGTCTTTCAAGCAACAGAAGAAGCC